AGGCCCAAAATGGCCTGTGCTAAAACCCTGGTCTGGTGCCTAAGTTTTAGGGCAGGTCGATCTTATGAGGGCCTGAAAATGGCCCTCCGTTTCAGGCTGAAAAGACTTGGGGCCTGGATGGCCCTGTTTTAGGCTGAAACAACACAGGGCCTGTAGGCCCTTGTTTTCAGGCTTTCAGGCTGAAACGACACAGGGCCTGTAGGCCCTCGTTTTCAGGCTTTTAGGCTGAAACGAAATAGGCCCTACACCTACGGACCCTAAGTCTACCTCGCCGGGCTCTGCTGGGCCCGTGTGATACAGAGTATGCCACACAAGGCCTTTCTCCCTGATACCTGCACGAGGCAGCTATGGTTCTGCAGGGCTGGCACTGGGCCGCGGGCTGGGCCGGAGGCTGGCGCCCTTTCACTGCCGCGCTAATCTGCCGCTGCGCTATCTCTCCGCTGCTCAGCTGCTAATGCTTAAGTGCTGCGCTAATCCTGTAGACTAACATCCTTGCTACTAACCTACTAACTGAGGCTTGTACCCAGCTGATATAGTGCTGGGTCAGCCTCAGCCCTACTGAGTGCCTTCGGGTCTGGACCGTTGATAAGGCACAACGGTTCAGATCCAATTTGAATCTGAAAAGTGGCGCCTAAAACTGTGCCGCCGGCCGGTCCTACCGATGGACCGGTACCTGGCCTAAACTCAACTAGCCGTTGGGTCTGGTGGGTCAAAACTAGGCCTACCAGACTCTAATCTGAACCGGCGGTTCCCTGGACCTAGCTGGGGACCATCGGGACCCGGTACCTAGGCCTAACCCGTGCCAACTGCAGAACCGGGCCCTAACTGGGGCCCGTGTGGTATCAGTATGCCACACCTTATGTTCACGGCGCATGGTCGCTCCAGATGAACCATCCAGAACAAGTTGAATGACCCCCTCACCCTCCTCCTCCTCCTCATTTTCTCCCTGCTCTCCTCCTATCTTCAACATAAACCGAACACGACCCGAAATGAAAATGGAAGCAGCAGGTTTAGCCCACACGCGCTCGCTCACACAGACAGAGCCCTATATCATAACAAGGAGTGAAAACGCAGACAAACGAGGAGTGTCAAACAACGAGGAGTGAAAACGCAGACAACACGAGGTTGTCGTTTGGCATTAGAGTTTGACAGATGAATATGAGTTCAAGGCAGAGCAGACAAAACGAGGAGTGAAAACGCAGACAAAAAACGAGAAGTGGAAATCCACACCAGCACACGATATACGGTGTGCAATGGAGGTCGGGATGGGAATGAGCAAAAAGGGCAGTGCACTGACCAGGTAGGCAGAAGCTGCACAGTATAGGGCGAAGAAAAGCACCAGTATCGAGTAAGCTAGCCATGCCTGACAGCGTTGTTGCTTGACCACGCGCTGTGGCAGGACCCACCCCCCCATGATGACGATTTCGCCAGTCTTGTGAACAAAATCTCAAGCGAGGACCCCGCTCACAGGGAACTCACGGCAGCTTCAGACGAAGATCGTCGCAGCGCTCCCATCCTTTTGTGTTATTGTGTGTCATGCTTGCTGCGCCGGGGCCATGCCAATCTTCATTCTCTGTACCGTTCCAATTTTTTAACGGATGCAGCACTCCCCTTCTAAAACACAGGCAAAGGCAGAGCTCCAATCCCAGCATCGGCCCCAACGATCCGGACACATGGGGCTTCCTCCTGTCAACATGCCTAAGTCCCTGTAAGTGCAGTCACGCATGCTGTAAAAAAATGCTGAAAAGAAACTCAATACGATGACGACGAGAACCACCCTCCGCATCTACCGCACACTCATGCAGAGGGTTGCATACTTCGCCTCAGTCACTGATTCTACCGTGATGGTCTCTCCATGATGAACGATGAGGGGGAAAAAAAAACATGCTGTGCACTTGGCGTGCATAACGTATCAAAGTCATTGGTTTATCATAGAGACGATTTCGGGCAAAATAAATTCCCATGCAGAGGTTGCCACCACACGTCTTCCAGTATCTTCTCCTCAGCATCAGTTCGCTCTCTGTTGTATGAACACCATTGCAAGTGGGGACCCGCCATCAGGGAGAATGCCACTTGAAGTTGTTGTCACGAATCACAGCAGGGAATAGCGTGTACCAAGGAGGAGCATTGCCCTTCACATGGGCGACATGGCTTGAAACGTCGCTGCCAATCCAAGCTCGGATAATCACACAGGCACAAAATAGCACCCTGAGTTCTCGAACCCATCATCTCTTATCA